GGAAGCCTCCTCTTGTGCACTGGGAGCAGCTCACCTCCTCTGTGCTCATGCGGGGGGGGGGGGGGGCGGTGGTATGGTGGCCCAGAAACCTCCTCTTGTGCAGTGGGAGTGGCTCACATCCTCTGTGCTCACGGGGGTGGTATGGCAGCCCAGAAGCTTCCTCTTATCCCTCTCATTATTTCTTAAGATAGATTTCTCAAAGTGAAATGTCCAGATAAAGATTATTCTACAGGCCAGGGATTTAGCTCAGTGGTTCCGGCGCCTGCCGCGAAAGTACAAGGTCCCGAATTTGATCCCTGGTACCAAAAAAAAAAAAAAAAAAAAAAGATTATTCTATAAATGCTGATTAACAAAAATTGCTTTTAAGAATTTTAGGAAAAAATTGAAATACAGAGAGGTAAAGGTACTGAGATGAGCTAGCAGGCCAGGTGACAATGGAAGACTTGAGCTAGGAAAGAGCAGTGGGGATGAGAAGGCCAGAAGCGAGAAGCTTTTCAACAGAGCATAGTGGTGCATGCCTGTAATCCCAGCATCCTGGGAGGCTGAGGCAGGAAGATCACAAGTTCCAGCCCAACCAGGGCAAGGTAGCAACTTAGCAGACCCAGCCTCAAAAACAAAAAAACCCCAAACCAAACAAAGAGACTAGGGATAGTATATACTTCAGTGTGAAGGCCCTGGGTTCAACTTCCAGTGCTAAAAATAATAATAACTGTGGAAGACAATATATTCTTACCTACACAAGTAAAATAAGTGAGAGGCTTTCTGAGGTAGCAGCAGTTTCAGAGTCTGTTTGTATGGAGTGGGTGAGGGATAGAAAATGATTCCAGGGCACTGGGCTTTTGTTTCTTTAGAGACACTAGGACATCTTTGGAGGAGGAATTAATTGGAGGAAAGAAGATGCATACTCACTGGGGAGGCTGTAGAGGCAGAGTCTGGGCTGGAGAAGTAAATTTGGGAGTCTTGGGAGAAATCTGGTGGTTGAAGCACACAAGAGGGGCTGCCTGGGTAAGAGGAACAAGGTGGTACACACGCGCTCCCTGGGACATGCTTGAGGCCCGGGCAAATGCAGTAGGGAAAAGTGTAGGGAAGGGAAGCATGTCCAGGGGGCTGGGTAATCAACACAGTCCATTACTGTCCCAGGTCAGAAGAAGTGGGCACTACAGGGAGAAAAACCATTGTATTTGGTGCCCTGCAAGTCAAGGTGACCTCAAGGAGAACAGTTTTACCAGAACAGTGGGGATGGAGGTCAGTGGTTAAGGAAGCAGGAGATGGAGTCATTGAGTGTCAGCCACAGTGTAGAGGATTTTGGCAGCAAAAGGAAGAGGAAAGTCTGGAAATCAGCTACAAAGCAAGAGAGCAGAGCATTGTTCTTATTCCAGTCCAGCAGCTTCTGCTTTTCCACACCCCCACCACAGCTTCCTCTGCTTATTTTTCAATCCCAAATAGTTTTTAACCTCAGTGGATATCATGTGGCTTCATATGACAGGCCCTGGACACAGAGTCTCATGTAGTAAGTGCTCATTAAGTTAGCCATTATTTTCATTTTTCACTGAAAGTCCTTTGGAAAAAAATATGTGAATGAAAAAGGGCAGGCAGAGTGCAATTGGGAAGGAGGTAAGAGGGGCTCTGCTGCTGGTGGGGGATTCTGTCTTTTCTTGGTCTGAATTCTGGATCTACACTTGATGGCTTCTGCACTGTTGCACTAGGAGCCTGCACTTTATCCATTTGTGTCTTTGAGATTCTTCTCAAGGGTCGTGTTCTGTGTTCCCATCCCAACTCCCAGTTCAGTCTAAGTTTTAGGTCTGGCCCCGCCCCTTGAGGCTCCAGGAGAGAGCGAAGAAGAACTCTCTGGGGCTCAAGATTTAGGAAAAGCTGGGCTGGGGATTTAGCTCAGTGGCACTGCGCCTGCCTCACAAGCGCAAGGTCCTGAGTTTGATCCCCGGTACCGGAAAAAAAAAAAAGAAAGGAGCAGAAAGTGTGACTACCACATCCAGTAGACCCAGCACAGACGGAGCCTGCCAAAAGCCCCAGTCTTAGGACTGAGTGCAATCCCAGTTGGGTCTCTGCAGGTGGACCAGGCAGGAGTAGCACGATGCCAGGACTGTGAACAGGGGGCATGATGACCCCACAGAAGGCCGTGCAGAAAGATGCAATGCACTGCTTTCACCTGTGACACTATTGGCCTTCCCTGGCCCTCCTCATCCACTGGTGAGAAGATGAAAACCTAAGAGTCCACCTAGTTTAAAGGCACAGGTCCATTTGAGTAGAGTTCAGTCTGCAGAGGATGACAAAGCTTCCTTCTTGAAGCTTCTTCCTCCAGTTTCTCACCCTGAGATTCCACCTTTCCTCTCTGTCAGGGAATTTGGAGAAAGAGGTGCGCTTGGAGGGAGAGCTTGAGAAGGAGCAGAGTGTGCGGAGGTGGGTGTGGAAGGAGAGATGTGTGACTCGCACCAGGATGGGCTCAGCCATGCCGGGCTTCTTTCCTGTGTCTACCAGACTACTTCTTGCCCGGTGGCATTCTCAGTGAAGTAGCTTCTGTTCAATCCTTGCTCTGGCCTCCCCTGGTGTGACTGGACCTCAGAACCCTCCCAGCTAGGTTGGCTGGCCCTGGCCTGGTTCTGTTGCTGTGTGTCCCTCAGAGGACTGTCTGGCTACCCTTAGGTCCCCATATGGAGAGTCCACTCCACACCCCAGCTACTCAGCCTCCCTCTTGTCTTTCTCCTGTCAGTTCTTTTCTGTAGCAGAAGCCTCACCTCTAGCTGGGATTGGTTTATAACTAGGCTAAATGTCCTGGGAAAATATCTACCCGGAAGGCTGCCCTCATAATGAGCCATGATCATCCTGGATCCCTCTGCTTTCACTAAGGCACCAGACCTGGCTGTTTGAAGTGACCAGTTGTTTTGGACCTGAGGGGTCTTTTATTTCAAACCCTCTAAACCCTTTGCTCAATGAGAATGGAAAGTGTTACATGTGGAAATTGCCAGAGGGAGGGGGGCAAATATGCCAAAAGAGAAACTTCTTATTCTTAGCTTTCCGAAGTGTGTACTGTGCCATATGTCATGAGGGTCATACAGATTCTCTGAATGGGGACGCCACACGCAATGGAAGCCTTGGTATTTGGCAAATACAGTCCTAGTCACTAATCTGGGGCAGATGAAGAATCGCTAACATAGAGCAAAAAACCAGACCACTAAGAACCCAGGCAGCCCCAAGATGGAGGGAAGCTGTACTCAGGCTTCACTTTGTTGGGGAGGAGAAAATAAGCTTTCAAGTATTCTTGAGACAGCAGTGTTAACATTAACAGCTACCATCTGGAAATCAAGGAAATTCGGATTTTGTTTTTATAGATTTGTACTGAAAACCAGTTCTGGCCAGGGAACCTCACATCTCAGAAGTCTCCAACCAGGCTCCAAGATGTAAACAATCCTTTAGCAAAACCTGTTGTCAAAATGACAGACAAAGGCTGTTGTCTTCCCTTCTTTATTTAAATCAAGAGATGAGGTCAGAGGTGACCAAATACGTGGAAAGCGACTATGGTGATGCATTTTAAGTGATTTTTAATATAAAAAGGCCAGCCTCAGAGACATGCAAAATTTGTCCTCCAGACTCCTCATTCCCACCAATCTAGCATCCTCATTCCGGACCCCTATTTAATCTCTTTCTTTGCTCCTACGTCCAGCAAATGGAACATAATGATTAGGTGGGCTGCTGTGTGTGGGGGGGGGGTGGAGAGTGCATCTGGAGAGTGGGTACACCGTTCAATCACCTTTCTGTAGGCAGGCATTGATGCACAGGCACACCCTGCTCTGAGGCTAGCTGGAGCTTCCTTTGGCTGTGCCGCTCTCTCCTGCTGTACTCTGGCAGGTGTGAGCAGGAACATGGGCTCTCATTCAGGGCAGAGCTTAATTGTTCTGTGTTGTTGGCTGAGAACAATGAGTGCAAGTTTCCCCGGGGAAACTGGGCAAAAAAACAGGCTCCGCACACAATTCTGGGTGCCTGTGGCCTTTTTGAAACAATTTCCCAGCCAGAAGACCTCAACTTCTCAGACAGCCCCATGCCCTGACCTGGACTCAGCAGGGTTGTGATTCCATGGCTGACAATTGCAACTGGTGCTTCCTGCTGCTCCCATCGGACTGTAGGTCATTCTCATGTTAAGGAAGGTCATATGTTTGCTCATTAGATGGAAAGCAAAGACAGACGGGATACAAGTGTTCCTAGAAAGAAATGAGCACAGTGTGTGATGTCAGTACTGTTTTCAACTTTCAGCAGTCATTATGGCTGCTACCCTTTCCTGCTCCCTGAAGACCACAGTTCAACATGACTTCAAGCACAATTAAAGTGAACTACTTTCAACAGAGCCAAAGTTAAGGGGGTATAGACTTCAGAGCCACAGTGCACTGATTTTTCAAGGAAGCTCTCATGTAAAACTACAAAGGGGAACATACAAACTTTTGTGGCTTTATTCTTATTTGTATGCAGTGTACATTTACACATTTTATTTTCAGCACACACTTTTACATTAATAATCTCCTTGGAGCCTTAGCAGAATCATTTGTTATAAACAAGGTGGGGATTCAACTTTTCCTTTGACAACCGATAATGTCTGACTCTTAGAGCACTACCACAGATGAAACAAAGGCAGGACCTAAACTGTTTCTATTGTATCAAATCATCTTTCATTAAAGACTCAGAGCTGTGGGTTGGTCAAAGCCTATCAAATCTGCTCAAATTTATATATGCTTTTTCCCCCACTGTCCAGCATCCTTTCCTCTAAGAATAATCCAGCCTCAATTCTATCATGTTCATTTAGTTTGGCTATGCAAAAACCCACCATGGACCTAACTGAAGATGTGGAACCAAAGCCTAGCCAATCAGACTATTCTATTATCCTGGCCATGATGATTGGGTCAGGCAAGAGCACATGACCAAAGCTAGCCAATCACAGTCTTCTCTGGGCCTTTTTGCTAAAGCTCATGGAAAGAGGTACTCTCTTTTTCTAGGTGCTTGCTGAGGTGAAGGAAGTTTGCCCTGGAATGAAGGAAGTGAAGGAAACCAGAGCTGGGAGATGGAGAGAGAGAATCCTGAAGTTATTATTTGAACCACTGAGTCTAGCTGTGCTTGGAACTCTTCAATGAGCTACTACATTCCTTTGTTGCTTAAACCAATTTGAGTTATGTTTAAGATACTTGCAATTGAAAGGAATCATTAAGTAATAAAACTGCCATTTGTCACTCCCAGAATTGGAAAATACTTCTCTAAGACTGTTTATTTGTAGTATGCTTTTGTAGTATGCTTTATTCTTTCCCACAAAAACTCAGTTTAGGGCCAGGGATTTAGCTCAGTGGTTCTGCCACCTGCTTCACAAGTGCAAGGTCCCAGTACCAAAAACAAACAAAAACAAACAAACAAAACTCAGCTTATAAGAATAAATAGGAAAAAGCGGCAAAAGGCCAAAAAAAAAGAGGCCAAAAATCAAAGGGTAAGTTTAACACATAAAATGAATATCACGTATATAAATAGAGAACAACCTCTATATTAAGTTAGCAAAATTATTTTAGAAATTATAACACCAAGCGGAGGGTGCTAGGAAATGGTCTTGGTTGGAGAAATTATAATTGATGGAAGACAAATTTCTGGAGATAAATTTGATAGTGCATATTCATATGCAGTGTTTGTCTATAACCAAGCATTCTATTTCTAGGAGGGCATTTAAGGAAATAACTAAATATATATGGATGCAAAGAGGTAGCTATAAGACTGGTTGTAATAATCACCAAAAGTTGGGAAACTGCCTGATATTCAACAATACATTGTAATAACATGTAATTTATTAAAACAATGATATGCATTTTTTATTGACCTGGAGTGATATTCATATATTGTGGGATTGCTTTGGACTAGCACATTTAAATCCTTCCTAGGCATAGCAAGAGTCAAATAAATTGACCACTCTTAACCCTGTGCTGTTAAAAACAAAACAAATCACCTGATTTATTGGTTGTAATAAAAATGAAAAAATATAGAAGTGGCAAAAATTACCTCCCTATTCTTGAGTATTCTCGCTTGGGTCAATTTTGGCTCTCTGTACATGTGAGGTCAGTTATCTCCTGTTGGACCACGTGCTCACATCTGACTGGTATTGGGAGACTATTTACTGACACTGAGCTGGGTCTCTAATTATCATCTATTCTAGACCAATAGTCACCAAAATGTATATATGCCCCAAACAAACTGCTGATCTGTGAGAAGAAAATTTTTAGAACTTCCATTTATAGTCAACTCTTTTAAAATTTCTATTTCTCATATTTTTATAATTTACATAATATGACAGGATAATTGTGATAGTTAACCTTGGCTGTCAGCTTGATTGGATTGGGAAATACCTAGGACATTAGTACAGTATACCATTGGGTGTGTCTGTGAAGCGCTTCCAGAGATGACTAGTACGTGGGACAGCAAATTGAGAGGAGACCCACCCTGAATGCAGGTGATGCCATTCAATAAGCTGAGTGCCTGCAAAGACTGATAGTAGAAGAAGAAGGAAGCCCTTCAACAGGCTCTCTGTCTTTGCTTCCTGGCTGTCATGAGGTGAGCAGCTGTCCTCTGCCATGCTCTTCCTACAGCCATGTTTCTGTCTCACCACAGACCTAAAAGCAGCAAGGCCAACTGGCCATAGACTGAAACCTCTAAAATCATGAACCAAAATAAACTTTTCCCCCCTTAAGTTATTGTCAGGTATTTTATCATAGCAATGGAGAGTTGACTAACTTATTAATTATACACAACAGGGTGTAACAAATGTATAAAATGCAAAATATTTCTAGTAATAAAAGTATATTCTGGTTAGCAATAGCTGTGTAAGCAACAAACTGAAAGCTTAGTGGTTAAAGCACCATTTTATCTTGTTCATAATTATTATGGTTTAGATCTAAAATGGGCCCCCAAAGCCTCATGTGTTTGGCAGGTGATTGAGTTATCAGGGCTCATAACTGACTTGCTGTTAGGTGGGGTCTGGTTGGAAGAGGTAGGTAATTGTGGGCATGACCCAAAAAGGTATATCTCCCTCCCAGCTCCTCCCTTGACTCACCCTGCTTCCTGTCTGCCATGAGGTGAGCAGCTGAGCTCTACCCAGGCCCTTCCACCATGCTGCTTCTGCCTGGAGCTGGCCAACCATACAAAGAATGAAACTTATAAGACGTGAACCACTGTGGACCAGGAATTTGTGAAGGACTTACCTGGGCAGTTTGTCTTCACCCCAGGTAGCACCAGTTTGAGCAGCACCACTAGGTTGGGAGATCACTTTCAAGATGGCATACTCCTCTGGTTGGCAAATTGGTACTTACTACCAGTTGAGGACAGAGCTGGGGTAGTCTCAGTTCTTTTCCATATGGCTTCTCCAATGGACCACCTGGGCTTTCTCACAGAATGGTGTCTGGCTTCCAAGAGGAAACATTCTGAGAGTCATGAACTAGAAGCTGCCAGACTTTTTTTTGGTACTGGGGATCGAACTCGGGTCCTTGAGCTTTCGAGGCAGGTGGCGAAACCACTGAGCTAAATCCCCGGTCCTAGAGAAGTTTCTTTTTTTTTTTTTTAAATTTGCTTTTTATTTTTTTTTGGTACTGGGGATCAAACTCGGGACCTTGCGCTTCCGAGGCAGGTGCTGGAACCACTGAGCTAAATCCCCAGCCCCGCTGCCAGGCTTTTAAGACCAGTAGCAAGACTACGCTCCAGCATCACCACATCCCGTTCTTTCAGTCCAAGCAGTCCAAGAGCTCATCCAAGTTTCAAGGAGTAGAGTCATTGGCCCCCACCTCTCAAAGAGCAGCTGACAGAGAATATGTAGCCATCTTTAATCTGCTACATAGCATGTCATAAAAAAATGTCTGAAGATCACTGATTCAGAAAAAGAAATATGTACTAGCAGCTCCTCACTCCTCCCCACCACAGACTGGGACTCAGTCCCTTACAGAAGTGGACATCAGAAGCTGTTTCATTAGGAATGAAGCTCAAACTTTAATGCCTTATTCACACTACATTCAGAAGAATACCTGCAGGACAATTAGGGGCTGGGGCAGTCTAATAATTATTGATTCCAGTGTCTTATTTTACTTAATAAAACCAAGTTTGACTAGTAGACTAAAACATTTATTGCTTGGGTTTTTTTTTTTTTTTTTTGGTACCAGGGATTAAACTCAGGACCTTGTGCTTTCGAGGCAGGCAGTGGCACCACTGAGCTAAAGCCCCAGCCCTATTGCTCAGGTCTTGGTGACCTGCACAAAGTTTTCTCTTTTACCCAGTATATCTCTTTAGATCAAAACATACTGAACTTAAATACAGTCAGAATGTCTTTCATTTCTCAAAAGGATGATATTGAAACAGTGTTCTCCCAGAGTCTCCTGGTACACAGGGACACCTGCTTTTTCTTTTGCATCAATCAGCTATAATAAGCACAAGCAAAAAGCCTTAAGATTTCTCCTATATCTCAGAATATATTCTCGAGGAGAATAAAGTTGTTTACTAAACAGTATCAACTTGTTTTTGTAAGGCAATGTGTGAGAGAGATGCGTGTGAATTTATTCATTTTATGCTCCTGGCTCTGGCTATTAAGAGTGGGTCCTGTTCTCCAGAACAGGGTGGTGGGTGAGGTGCCAGTTAGGAAGAGTGTGGTGGTATGGCAGTGCTCTTCTCAAGGAGAGGAAGGCGCATCTGAAGGAGAGGGTAGCTTGTTCAGAGGGCAGGGGATGATGCTGCTACATAGGTCAGGTGGTCTCCAGGTTCCCACACACTAGTCATCCACACTGCCTTGTTGATGTTGGACTGTGTTCTGCTGTGGATGATCTGGGGGATGCTGCTGTCCCCTGAGGTAGACACAGGCCAGCAGCAGTAAGTCCAGTCACCTGTGACATCTGAACGGAAAACGCCCCTGATATACATACACCAAACTCTGAGGATGGACATCTTCAGACAGCGGATTATAAAGACTTTCTTTTTTTTTTGAGACAGAGTCTCACTATGTAGCTCAGGCTGGCCTTGAACTCTAAGCAAACCTCCTGCCTCAGCCTCTTGAGTGCTGGGATTACAGGTTTATGCCATCATGCCTGGCTATAAATACTTATTTTATTCTTTCTTTTTGTATTTTTTAAGTTTTCTGCCAGTTGGGTTGTTAAAAGGAAATTATTTGAATCATACATGGGTTTTGCAACCAGACAGACCTGTGTAGAACTCAGCTCCACTACTTCTTAAGTGTTTGGTTTTGGACAAGTTCCTTAAAGATTTTTTTTAAAGAAATTTTAACCAATACATAAAAAAATAAAAATTATACACATATTGGTGTGTTGTGTAACATTTTGATACATGTATACATAAGTTCCTTAAATTTCTTTCTTTCTCTCTCTCTCCCTCTCTCTCTCTTCTTCCTTCCTTCCTTTCTTGTTTTTTCAGTTCTAAGGGTTGAACTCAGGGCCTTCACAATAAGCTGTATCCCCAGCTTTTTATTTTTTATTTTGAGACAGGGTCTTGCTAAGTTGATAATTTGCCCAAGCTGGGCTTGAACTTGTAAGCCTCCTACCTCAGCCTCCCAGAGTGTTTGGATTATAGGCATATGCCAACACACTCAGATTCCTTGAATATTTTAAGTCCCAGTTTCCTTATATACAAAAAAGGATAACAATAGACTTTCTTCCTTAAATGAAATAATACACACAAAATTCTTTGAGTAGTGCCTTAGATCTGAATGGACACTGGGGTATAACTCCACAGTAGAATGCGTAGCATGAGCAAGGCCTTGGGTTTGATTTCCAGTCCTGGAGCAAGTGTCCATAGGTAGATATGGAATAAATAGTTAAAATTGTTGCTCTTTTTAATAGTGAGGTTTTCTGGTGGTTGTCAGATCCTGAAAATGACCACCTTTTTCTACTCATCATCAAGATGTAAAGGCAGTGCCTGTCTACATCCTCCAAAGAACCAACAGAGTAAATTCAGCTCAATTTTGTCCTACTCCAGTTAATCTTGTCAATTTGCTAGGATTAAGAGCCCCCTGGTGAGGTGATTGAACATGGGGTGCTATATTAATCAGTGGATTAATGTGGTGCTATTCATAGCTGAATGAATGCATCTTTAGCAGGTGGGGCCCAATTGGAGGAGGTGGGTCACTGGGGCAGAACCTTTGGAAGGCCTGTCTAGCTGCTGGTCTTCCTTTCTGCTCTGCTTCCTGGCTGCTCCCCTACACC